AAAATTCCACAAACATACACACTGACGGCGGGCCGAAGTAGCCTACCTCGTTAAATAAATTATAAACGATACAATTTGTGTCGACGGGGGGCTAGGCTACATCAACTACAAATAACACTATTTTCCTTCTCTTTCAATCACCACCACAGGCAACCTGCTGGTGATCCTGGCGGTGGTGCTGAAGAAGAAGCTGCAGACCGTGTCCAACCTGTTCGTGGTGAACCTGAGCATCTGCGACTTCATGTTCGTCACGCTCGTGCTGCCCGTCAACATGTACACCTACCTGGCCGACGGCTGGCTCATACACCCGCTCATCTGCAAGTTCGTCGGATTCTTGGGATACACGCTTACTGGTAAGTCTCCCTTCCCCTCCCACCCCACACCCCGTTTTAGAGGGAGTTTTTATACGGCAGTTTGCAACACAATAGGTCATATAAGTGCCAGAGATAGGCATTACTAGAAAAAAAATATTTTTTAAAAATGAACTTTTAGTTGGGAGTTTTACAGCACTTGCAACACAGGTTACATGAGTACCAAAGATTAGAGAGATGTTACCAGATACTAACAGAGAAAATCAGGTAGATAGTTAAGTTTAAGTAAGAGTTTTAAGGAGCTTGCAACACCAGAGGATAAGAGGTGTTACTGTAGATTAACATACACAGAAAAGAAGCAGGAGAGAAAACGATGATAGATGTTTGCTAAGAAAGAAGGGGAAAAGAACATAAGAGCACACGTCAACCACCCACATTCCAACAGACAAGGTGGTGCAAAGGAGCCAGCAAACTTGAAAAAAATAATATTAAAAATTAAATTATCACGGAACTTGATAGAGTTCAGGTAGACTTATTTCGATCTGTGGAAACCTTGTGGATGAGATACAGTGAGAAAAAATAAGTAAGAGATTATCATCCCAAGATGTTGTATCTGGCTTCCCGATGGCACACCACTATTGGAGGAGAGTGCAATCCGAAGATTAGAAATTAGTGTGTCACAAGAGAGTAACAAAAAAGGAGGGGAGATAAGGACGATAGATGTTCGATAGGAAAGAAGAAGCGCTCGCCAACTACACACGCTGACAAGTTTAGTTTTAGTGAGAGTTTTAAAGCACTTGCAACGCAATTAGATCACATGAGCACCAAAAGATTTTAGTTTTTACTAGAGAGTAACACACAAAAAAAAAGAAGGGGGTGAGATGAGGACGATAGATGTTGGATAGGAAAGAAGTAGCAACCCCCCCACCAAAGCACCCGCAAATCACCCACACTCGGGGGAGAGGGCAATGAACTCTGTAAACTGGTGATATCAGAACATGACAGATCGCAGCTGACACCCCCCCCCCCCCCCTCCCCAATCAAAAGGATGCAAGAGATGACAACAGGCCATCAGCACAGGGGGAAAAAAACGCCAGCGAAAAATTCAAACTTTCTTAAAGCCAAACGGCGACAGACTGAAACCGTCTGGTCTGCTGTCAAGTTCACCGAGGGGCGCCAGGATCTTTTAGGGATTCTGACAAACAAAGCATCCCGTTTAGATTGGGTTTTTTTTTGGTGCAAAAGCCATGACGTAACGACAACTGGGCACAAGAAGAACTAAACCTTATAAGGGAAAGCGAAAACCGAACAAAGAACACACGCGTTTTTTTCGGGGGGGGGGGGGGAGGGGATTTGGAGGAAAAAGAAAAGTTAAAGCAAGATCGGATCAAACTAGTCCACGCTTTATCATTCAGTAGTAAAAAAGAAATAGCCAGACTTCGAGGTCATACTCGCAAGTCAGGAGAGAACAGACTTGGAAGCGTTTACGAAATTCTAAAAAGTTAGTTTTAGTATGAGCTTTACAACAGCACCCGCAACACAATTAATATCATATTATAAAAATGCCGAAGACCAGAGGCGTTACTTGAGAGTACCATACAAAGAAATGAAGGAAGAGAGATAATGACGATAGATGTTTGATAGAAGGAAGGAGAAAACCACATCAGAGCACCCGCCAACCACATACACTAAAACAATGTGCCCAGAGACGCAATCAAATCAAAGGTCCATAAGTTATAATTTTGTTTTATCCAGTATCCAATTGGATCAGATCGCAGCCCCATGGCTTTATCAAAAACGCAAAATATCAAAACAATGAAGGTAAACTTTAGCCCTATATTCAGTACTTTTCTTGTCCCTTAAAAAAAAAAAGTAAATCTTAAACATCAGCTTTTAAAAACCCTCATCAAATCCATTGCACAAGTAACACCAACATAATACGACGATTTGGCTAGAAAGTCATTAAACTTAGAAATATTTCTCCGCATGAGCAACAAAACCCGAAGCTTTATATATATAATATTCCACTTTCTCTTCCTCTACCAGGCACCACAATCATGACCATCACACTGATCGCGTGGAACCGCTACCGCCTGGTGGTCAGTGTTTCCAGCTACAAGCAAATGTTCCAGCCCCGCAACATGGCCATCATGCTGGCTGGATCATGGCTTATTCCCATCATTTGCCTGCAACCTGCTATCTTCGAGGTAAGAATTCATATTCTGGTTTCAGTCATTTTTTAAAAAGTGCGGTTGTTTTAGCAGGTTCGATGGAAATTTTAATCGATCCTACACTGACATAATGCTTATCTCTGAAAAGACAAGACCTTGAAGTTTTCCACATTTCATAACATAAACTAACTCAGAATCAGAATTGGACCTGCTCAGAATCAGAATTGGACCTGGAATGTCTGCATGATAACCAATTGTCTAACTCGGTAATGAAATTGGGTATATTCGATGACTTCTGGAATATCAGCACTAACCACTTGTTGCAATCTCATACATCTGTTCGTTTTTTATAAGATTGGGGCTGGCATTAGCAAACATTTCTGTCCCCCACCCCCTCCATTTCATTATGAGATGTATGACAGTCACATTGTATTACCAGCTAGCAGTTCAACATGGTTCAGGAGAATGACCACTGTGTATCCCTTAATCTCATGACCTCTCTCTTTTCGCCCAACAGGTGTGGGGCCGTTTCGGCTTCGTGCCGCTGCTGTCAAGCTGCAACCTGGACCTAGACAGCTCCAGCCAGAGCTTCAAGATCTTCCTGCTGATCGTGCGGGCCGCCATCCCCTGCGGGCTCATCATCTACTTTTACAGCAGCATCTACGCCAACACCCGAGCCTCGCACCAGCGGCTGCACCACGCTGCCTGCTCCACCACCAGTCTCATGCTGCAGCAGAGCCAGCGGCGGGAGATGCGACTCACGCGCATGATGGGCGGCATCTTCCTCGTGTTCATGCTCAGCTACTTCCCCTGTACCGTGTCCAGCCTCATCGACTGGAGCAAGCTGCTCAGCAAAAGCTTCCATATGTTCTGCCAAACCTCCGTTTTCCTGGGCAGCGCCATCAACCCGCTGCTCTACGGCTTCATGAACGAGCAGTTCCGCAAGGCTTACTACGAGATCATCACCTGCGGTCTCATGTACGGCAGGTGCAAGAAATGCGCAAAAACTGTGCACGACCACAGCCGCAAAGTGGCTAGAGAAGACAGTACAGAGAACCACACTTACCACAACACAGACAACCAGGAGGTCAACACTGAGATCCACCACGATGGTCTTGTCTCCTCCTGGAGCACGGCACAACAACAGCTGCATAGCCAGGAGGAAGAGACTCTCTACTACGCATACCAGGAAAACTCCGATGATAACGACGAACTCCCTGACCACAAGGCAAGGGTCAGCACGGAAAAAGTGCCGCCTTCTGTGGCCCACAGTCGAACAAACAGTATCAATTTCTCTTCCAACTGTGACATTTCCCAAAGGGACGTTTCAACTTCTCTTCTAAAGAGCAGTGAGAGTGACAGTAAGTTAGCCACGTTACAAGATGTACACAGTCCAAAACAGAGTTATATTTGAAGGGCACCATACTACAGTACTTGTAATATACTCAACTCACAATCTTTCAACAGTGATCTCATCGTTGCTAATCTTGTGACCGTGACGTGTTTCCCATACATTATGTTAATGGAGACAAAGACTGACATTACTCCCATCATCCCGTTGCCAGTTTGTTACTAATGATTATGATTTGTTTCTAAATTTTGTTGTAATAAAATATCAAACACTTTATAATAAAATCTTGACAAGTGTACATTTTATTGATATAAACAAGTTCTCATGGTTTTTGAAAAATTTATTTCAACACTTTTGCAGTGGCACCAAAGCAGAACAATGAGCAAAAGGTCGTCATACTGACAGCCATAAAACTAAAAATAGAGAAAATGGCAGACACATAGAGGACAGAACATTAAGCAGCAAACACTGTCACACAGACTCCTATGTAATGCATATTATATAAATAGAGGCTGCAGCCTTTCCTGGGAAATCGAGCCAAGAATCTAATCCATCCCTCCTTTATGGGGAGCAAGGTGAAAACTGAATGCTAGGTATGAGCGTAGTCATTATTCAGTTTTTAGTTTTAGTAGAGTCGGGAGTTTTACCGCACTTGCAACACAATTAGATCATATAAGTGCCGAAGATTAGAGGTATTACTTGAGAGTGAGATACAATTTTTAAAAAGAAGAAAAGACAAGGATGATAGAATGATAGATAGATAAGATAATAGGAAAGGAGCAAGCCAAACCAGGACACCCTCATTCATCATACTATTATGCAAATGCCAATCCTACAATAAAAACTTAATACTTTTGGGTCTTCTTCAGTTATCATTAGCTATAAGTTCTTCAACACAGAAATGTGGTGACATAAAGAAGAAAAGGGAGAGAGGGAGAGAGAGAAAGAAAGAGAGAGAGAGAAAGAAAGAGAAAGAGAGGGGGGAAAGGAGAGGGAGCGAGAGCACAAGGTGTTCGCCTGTCAGCCTTTGACTTGGAGCCTCACCAGCTTCTGACTGGTGTCTTCTTGTTTTCTGCACCCCCCTAATCCTAGAGTATGTAGGATTGAGCACATAGTCTTCTAGTTTAGTTTTAGTAAGAGTTTTACGGCACTTGCAACACAATAGGTCATATATAAGTGCCGAAGAATAGATGTGTTACAAGAAAGTAACATACACAAAAAAGAAGGAGGGGAGATTAGGACGACAGATGTTTGATAGGAAAGAAGGAGCAAACCACACCAGATCACTCGCCAACCACCCACACCTAGTCTTCTCCAGATTAAAAATTTTGGAGGTGTGTGAAAGTCCCACATGGTAAAGATTGTCGGGTGGTTCTAAAATCGAAATGAGTAGGCATTTCCGGCCACTGTCCGAGCGAAATTCAAAGTCAATTCCAGAGCAAACTGAAAACACTCTCTAGTCAGTATAAATATTAACAAATACCTGTGAAAACGCCGTGATTTAAATTGTCTGATAACACTGCCATGCAGGTAAAAATTAAATTGCACTGAGAGATGAAGATCTTACAATGAGTTACTTCCTGAGCAGTAGCAGGGATATCGGGATATGAGAAGAAGTAAGAGAAATTCTTTTTAAAGGGCCTTTGGGGAGGTAAAAGACACTATATATAATGAGTTGGGTTTTTTTTTTGGTTGTCCTTACGGGGGTTCCGTGGACATAATTGGCAGCATAAATGTCCTGTCTACAGACTGAAGCACCCAAAGAAAGGGGAAGGCAAACATTCTGGAAAGGGTCAGCTGATTGATTTTCACCACTGCACTAAATATGTGCCCAGACAGGGATAGGTAGAGCACCCTCGGGGTTCGATGTAATAAATAAGATAGGATTTTATTCTGTGTGCCTAACGGGACTGACATAGAACCTTGAATATTATCTTCTAACAGAAAGACCTAAGATATTCCATAAAACTTCTCCTCACTCAGGAATCAAACTTGGGTCTCCTTTGTGCAATGGCAAAATACCTGAAAGTAACCCCATACAGGTGCCAGTACTCAGGTTGTGAAATCGTCAATACTCACTCAGACATACTGGTTATTTAAAAATTAATTACTGTATAATCCACTTTCCTCTTTCTTGACACTACTCACTACTACAGTCATCATTAGTACTATTCAACTATTCAAATCTAAAATGGTTAACCTCACTCAAAAAACGTTTCAGAACATCATAAATCCTGGAAGATTTCCACTTAAAGCTTAAGCTACATAAACTGCTTTCTGAATGGTATATCTACGCTACGTTATCAAAACTGGAACAAACTAATTAACATTACCCACCCCCGAGCACCATCCCCATTTCCACCCCAAATACTGTCAAGGGATACATGGGCGCAGTTGACAACATCAATTCAGAGAAGAGGGAACCATCTAAAAGATATAATGTGTTGGGAGACGGAACATATTTCATCTCTGTCCAAGAAATGACCACACCCGTGTACTGTCCAATTTGTGATAAAGCCGGTACGTCACCACTGACAAAAGTGAACAACAGGAGTCAGGGGATGCGTAACAATACAATGTTTTGACTTTGAGGAGAGAAAGGCTACTTGGATTCTTTAGCAAGCTGGCATAATCTGTCATGAAAGAGGTTTTGCTGAAGTTTTCTTTCAGGGTGCCAAAATTGGGAGAAATTTTATTCCACAAGGTCTTTATATTACCGTGTAGGAAAAAACAGTTCTGTACATCTACAAAGTAGACATCAAAATTAAAAAAAAAGAAAACAAAGCTATTTTAAGTCATATCATACACTTACCGTTGATTTCCTAGACCTGTCAGGGAGACTCAAGGTGTTGATGAACCTGTTGGCAGAAAGAAATTAGATTAATTAATTCTTCCATCTTACAATGGAGAACATTGGAAAAAAAAAAGTTGATATAAATGTCTCTGAAGAACAACATAAATTCCTTGATACTTGACAGCCTAGCCCTGGCCTACAGGGAAAGTTACAAAGAAATGAATAAGAAATGCCGAAGCCAAGAGAGAAGCGCACAAGCGGAAATGAAGCTTTTAAATCCTCAAAATGTGACAAACCTTTCTCTGCCAGAATTAGTCTCACTGGCCATAAAAGCTGAGGTCACAAAGCATCATAATTTTCCTCTATTTCTCTTAAATCTCGCACCCTCTGCACACACATTGGTCATTGGCAGACGAACTATTACATTATCACATTATAATCATTCTCAGTACAATAATAAAAAATACCAAGCCTTCTTCCTTGCAGCCTGTCACTCTGATCACATGTTTTACCGAGAGAAAATTATGTAGACTAGCGAAAGTAGTTATGAATGCGAAACTGTGAAATGGTAGAGGTTTAATGCCCCTACCAACACTAATAGTAATAGGTTATAGGAAAGGCAGGACCTCCCAGTTTTAACATTCATCTCTTAAAGGACCAAGCTAAAGATAGGAAATTTGTGTAAATTGGCTTCACCAAGGACAGAACGTCGGCACACCGGACTGAACTGAGGATACAACCCCTCAACCCACATTCTCACGATTACAGGTCTGGAAGGGTTAACGACTACCACAAGGCTACCAACACCACCAGTTATGAATGCTTTTTACGACAATTGACTAAAATTTGGTCACTTTAAAAAAATGGCATTGGCTGACAAACGCCTCCCATTTTCCTCCCAACAAAACCATCAGCCTAAATTAATTTAAAATTTCAAAAATAAAATGATATGCAATGGATATTAAGTCAAAAGTTGTGTAAAGCTGATAAAGAATTAAAAAGGAAAGTGCCGTACAACACCTTGACCTTGGCATTAGAAAAGAGGAGTGAAAGTAAAATAATAGGCTAAATAATATTTTCTTCTAGGTTAGGCCTACCTAGAGGCAGGGCTTAAGTTTTATAAGTAACCCCCCCCCCCAATAAAACTTGATTAGAACAGGACCAAGACAGTTCTTTCTCAGGCAGAAAATGAAAAAGTGTTTTGAAGGGAAATATCGGTACATCTATGGGTGGGGCAATAAGGGTATAAAACAAAGGAGCCGTTAAACAGTTTCTGTTTTTAATTGGTAAAAAAAACACCCAAAAACCCAACAATTGTCAATTGTCTCTGAAGGACTTCCGTAATGAGCAACCACTCCAACACACAATAAAGAAGAGACCTAACCCTAATCCTCTATTGTCTCATATGATAGTAGTTGCTCGTTGCGGAAATTCCCCCCCCCCCTCCCATCATAGTAGATCTAGATCTAGATGCAAGAACTGGTGGCAACGGACAGGCCTAAATTTAACACCGACCTATGCCAATTTCAGTATCAGAGTGGTTAGGATAGCACTTGAGGAATGTGAGGTTGTCACTACTGCCTGCTGACGGGACAGGTGAACCTTGACCACACTGCCCACGGCGTGCGGGTTGGACCTCTAAATCTAAGACTCGTCCTCTAGCTCAGTGGCACACCCCCCTTCTTTTTTCTTGCCCAAGATAGAACTTTTTTCTGGCCCCTCTCCAATTCTCTCTTAGACAGGTTAGATGAAGAACTACAAGTTGTCATTGCAAGTTAGTAAGTCAAGTGACTATCAGTATCACAACTAAACTGTCAACTACTCTAGATCTACTCTGTAGGCCTAACTGTACTGTAGTCTATCGTCGACCATTCATTCAAATCGCAACGACTACATTCACGGAGCTGTGAACATAGTTTGCAGGCTATGTTCAGTGCACCCTGAATCATCCACCATTGGCACAGAGGCATGACTGAAAGGAAGTGGTTATTCTAACCATGACTCGCTATTCTCACTCCATCGTTTTACCGGAAATGACCCTAGAGGGATCAGGGCTCAGGTTAGCAGGCATGACCCTGAGGGAGGGTCAAGGCTAATGCTCCACAGAATCATATTCGTCACTGATTGTGTCCGAATAGTCAGTCAGGGTTGTCAGTTTGGAACCAAATCCTAGAAATTTGGCTCTTTTGGATCGTGCCTGGCCCAGAGAATTTCATTTGGCTCTCTGGCTCTTTTTTGGCTCCAAACTCCAAATGTTCAAGAAGAAGGGGAAAGAAGAGGCAAGAAAAAAAATGAAAGTGAATAGAGTTAGGATTGTTTAATTAACACTTTCCACCCACACAGCGCAACACTTATAAATCCCCACAGACAAGGATACATGTGTGGTACATGCTATGTATCACACTGGCGCTGATCAGCGTCCCGTGGGGGCAAAGTGTTAAACTAGTTAGAATGAATTAACGCTCTCGCCCAGTTGGTCTGAATAATTTACAACCTTTCTCTACCGTCGTGCAAGAGCATTTATTGTCTTGTTACGTTTGTACAAGCTCTCTGTTCCTTGAACCAGTGAGAGGCCTGCCATTGTAAACACGAATGGTCCGGCCGGCCCCACATCCCGCTCAGTAGCGAACCCTTTTTTACTGGAGAGGAGAAAGTTGTGTTTAGTTATAGATCTAAGCCTAATTATTTGTTCCCAACCACATGCAGTAAGCGACCAAGGTCCAAGGGTCTAGGTGATTTTATCAGCCTGCGAGAGGTCAGGGGGGAGTCCTCGCCCCATGCCCACACATGGGGTTGGACCTATTCTCACCGGGGGGGAAGAAGCGAGACATGGGTTATTCTCACCCGGGGTGAGAATAAAGGAGGCCTGACTGAAACGCTACAGTTGATCAAACTCAAAGTCAAAGTGAATGAGAAACAGCACAGGACTAGGCTACAGGTGAAAAATAATGCAGCTGCAGAGTCTAGTCCGCATGCAACGGAGTTTGCAGAGGGCGAAGGCGAGAACAGCAAAGCAGCCTCAGTCGACAAGGCCTCGCTAGCTCAGCATGCTGAACACGACTTTGATCGGGTCGATCCGGAAGTGCTCGACAATTTGAAGGCCAACAAGGCGGGAAGAGGGGTGGGAGGTGGTGAGAAGCAAGAGGGAAAAGGGGAGGATTTCCGTAACGAGCGACCACTAAGACAGAGCAGAGTTGAGGGCTAGGGGTAGATCTACTAGGGATAAGGTTAGGGTTTGGGTTAGGGTGGCCTCTTCTTTATTGTGTTTGATGGGGTGGTCGCTCGTTACGGAAGTCCTTCCAGGACAAGCGTGTTCAGTGTAGGGGTGAAGTGAGAAACATCATTCTTAAATTGCAAACAGTATGGACTTCCACAATGAGTGAGCAACCCAACAAACACAATATGGTAGAAAAGACTTAATCCTATCCCTCTATTCTTCTCTGTCTCATTGTGACAGAGTGGTCGCTCGTTACGGCGGCAGGGAAGTCCTCCTGTGTCTCTGCTGGGGTATTGTTATTGTTAGGCTGATCGACTGGCAATTTCCACCCGCCGGGATTATAATAAGGCATAATACGGGCATTTATCTCACAGTGCTTAAACTGTTCCTCCTCCTGATTTATAATTGAGCCCACACAACTAGATCTAGGTCTAGACTAACATAATATTTCAAACAATACACGCAAGAACCTCTGCCCTAAGCAGAGAGCAACGCAGGCAACTATCGATAAATGGGGTGCTCCCAAATAGCTTCCAATAACGGCTGGAGCACTTTGATCCGTATGTCCATCTATCATTTCTTAGCATTAATATTGTCATTTTATTCTGTTAATACTAGAATTCATTACTCAAGCTTGATTTTCATATTAGATGTCAACGATTGAAATATCTGCAACTTTCGGTTTTGTTCCTTACCTGAGTTTTCAATAGAAAAGGAAGTTCCGGTGAAACGATCTTATAAAAGAAAATCCAAGTTAATATTCACAAAACAAACCTTTTTGTGATTCTGAGAATAAACCTTATAAAATAATCAGACTCAGCCAATTAAATTCTTTTCTAGTACTAAAAAACTTCTGTCTTTTTTTATCAGAATATCAAGGAAACAATATCCCATGGTCAATAAAACAAACTGTTTCGTTTTTACATATCGGATCACTCCTTCTTTTGAAATTCCATGAATTCTGAATGCATAAGCTGAAGAAAAGTTTGCCAAGAAGACCTTTCTTAGTCTAGATCTATGTTGAGTGTATCTTTGAAAACTGTCATTCTTAATATATTTCTCATAGGTCTATATTTGAGAATTTATTAGATTGATCAAAATTTTTTCTTAAAGATCGATTGTCTTTGCGATCAGAAACGCATGATTTTTTTTTCTTTCATATTTTCAAATATGAAATTCTGGATAAGCTCTTGGCTTGTATGATAATCTGGCAGAGTTATGATATCATAGGCCTAGAGGCCTCATCTCAACTCTTCCTGTAGACCGTAGAGAGTCTACTGTATAGAAATTTACAGTGTTAGAGGGGCACCCTAAAACAAAAGTATCTCTTTTTTGGGGGGTCTCACTCTTTGGTATTTTCAAGACCTTGTCAACTGCCAAGATACAGATCTACTTTTGTCCTTCCAGTGACTTCAAAATCAGAGACTGGACCTCATCCCAATGCCAATGGTAACTAAAGAATGTTGATGATGAATGTGTGGTTGTGAACTTTCGCTTTGTCACAAGTGTGGAATAATGTAGATGTAGCCTACAAACAATACATGGGGGCTCTCGTGGCCTAGAGGTTAAGGTGTTGGCCTCTCATTCAAAGGTCCCGGGTTCGAATCCGGGTAGCGACCGAAAAAATTTCTTCTCTAAAATTGTCTCCTTTCACCTCCTTTCCTGCTCTTTAGCAATATAGATCTATATTCTGTCGTCTGCTTTCGTCTCCTCTTTCTGCCCCCACCCCTTCACCTCCTTTGCCCCCTCCTCTGGGCTCCTGACTCTTTCTGCAGCCTTTCAAAGTTTCTACTGCTACTCCTTGACTCATTCTTACAGCTGTCTTTCTGCCACACCCCTGATCTTCTGGTAGGAAAGATCTACACCTAGCCTTCTTGGACAAGGGCGAAAAATCTCGGAGGTCCCGTATGCAAGTTGCGCACGTTAAAGATCCCTTGGTGGTCTAAAATCGATAAGAGTAGGCTTCGGCCGCCACCCGGGCAAAATTCAAAATTTCCTACCAACTAAAAGTATTAGGTGTGTCCCGCGCGCTCATATGACCTATGCAGTTGCGAGCGCCGTAAAAACACTTACCAAAACAAAAACAATACCTTTCTTCTACTCAGTAGTCACTTTTATTAGGTTACAGTGTACCAGAAGACAAAAATAAAACAAAGAGCCTTTTCAAAATTGAAAAGTGAAAACTTTTCAGACGTGCGTTTCTTCACTCTCTCTGTTTGTATGCACAAACCGAACAATATTACAAGTTGGCCAAGAAACTAGATTCTAGAGATTAGTTCTAGAATCTAGTCTAGATCTAGAAATCTGAATTCTAGGTGTCTAGATTCTAGGTCTACCATCAATCATCAGGTGGGCGGCAGCAATTTTAAAGTGAAGAATTTAGAATTATTTTTGTATTAGATCTAGATTTAGAATTTAGTCCAAGAGATCTGGATGTCTAGATTGGGAAGGACTTCTGTAACGAGCGACCACCCCATCAAACACAATAAAGGGGAGGACTTCCGTAACGAGTGACCACTATGAGACAGAGCAGAATTTAGGGGTAGGGTTTGGGGTAGGGTTAGGGTTAGGCCTCTTCTTTATTGTGTTTGATGGGGTGGTTGCTCGTTACGGAAGTCCTTCCCAATAAAGAAGAGGCCTAACCCTAACCCTAACCCTAACCCTAACTGACTCTGATGTACTTGGCCGTGGTCTACACTGACTGGCATCTTTCATTGCGAAATTGATCTAGATCTAGATGATCTAGATGTAGACATGAAGCAAGTTCTACAGAATCACCATTTTCACTTTCAACACCAATGACAATATATATAATTAGAGCAAGTCATATATAATACAAAAATATTTTAATAAACGGACCAGTATTGAACTTTATAGTTTTTTTCTTTTCCCTTTGCTATGGTGTATCTCATCTGTCTTATTAATATTATATTTCAAAAACTCTCAGCAGAAAGTTTGCTAGATCAAAGGCCACTCTCAAACTCCAGGGTCTAACGGATAAGTTTTGTGGCAACGCACAGCTTTTTACATTATTTTTCAAATAGGAGTATTGCCTACATTAACTTTGAACATGAAACGGCAGGTAGATCTGCAGCTCTTCTGTCTTTTTATAATGCTACTGAGATATAATATATATATTTATATAACCCTGTTGTCAGTTGTCCCAAGGCAGAGTAATGTGTCTGACTAAATTGAGTTTTTCAGTTTGTTACTCTAGTTTTGCCCATATCCCTCTCATGTCTCAAACACAGGATGATGTAGCTACACATCCGAAAAAGTAGTTTTCAAAGGGGTAAAACAACGTAAGGGACTGATCTCTTATTGAGTGTCAAATCTTTTTAATATGTTTTTCTGAAATATGCAGTTGTGTTGCTCTGCCTTTGACTTTGGATGCAAGTATTCCATAAGTACCGAATTTCCGCCCCAAAAACAGTCATCAACACTTTTCTATGTGTTTTGTCACAGAGCCACACAATTAACAGCCTAGTATTTGAAATTGTTTCTGCTCTTTACTCTTTCGCAGAGTGAGACCTGTGCCTCCACAGTGCCACAGATCGCCATTCAGGAAAAGACAAGGCTAAGGGGAACGGATGAGTGATCAGCTCATCAATACTGCCTAGCCGTGGCTGACTACGATGATATGGTTTGTATTTAATAGTGGTACTGTTGATCATCATCTGCTACTTATTTCTTTTTTAAAAAAATGTTTAAGTGTTCTAACTGGTAATATAATGACTGTTGTTGACTGTTGAGCAATATAGGTACCAAATTAATGGCCATGGTAATGTACCCCTTGTTTTGTTTGGTTTTCATATATTTACAACTGTTTAGTGTACCTCAGCTATTCAGCTATGATTGTTACTTGTAGTAAAATTGATGCTCTTCCTCCGACCGACTATTCTTACAGTAGTCTCCGCCTAAGACCCCCACCACTTACGATCCAAGTTCTCCTTAAGATCCCGCTGTTTTAAGACAACAGAAGTTTTACCATACAAAAATCTTTTGGAATTTTGTGGAACTTCACTTGTGGATGTATGTATGTGTATTATGTTTTCAGATGGCGGATGTGGAGAAAGTGGAGTTCACGTATGATGATGCAGACAGGCATGAATATGAATTGGCAGGTATGTGAATTGTTGAACCGGTGATATTGGTTAAAGTTACGGTCTAGCACGCTCATAATGAAATCAGCGAGATGCAGAGATCTTTTTGTTATGAGTATAAATTTCTCTTTGTAAGTTTTTTAATGCTGAAAAAATACAGAACCTAAAAATCTATTTGCTATACGGGTGCCAGACTGAATGAGTTTTTTCGTTGTTAGTTTATTTTTAAAAAGTTTTAAATTGAAGTGAGGAGAAATATCTGACTCTTGGAACTGATTTGCGGAGACTTTTGAGTGAGAGTTTTTATGCCATGCTTGTTTTACTTAAACTCATAAATGCTAGTTCCCTGGCTGATTGTTGTCAGTCATTTTTTATATTTTGTTGACTTTATTTTTTTTATTGATTTTTTTTTTTCATTATTTGTATATGAAATGGTTGCTCATCCTGCAAAGGACTAAATTTGCTATCTGACTGATTGTGGACATTTTCTCCATTTCATTGTGAACATGGATTTTGCCATGGATTTTGAAGTCTCAGGTTCTTTTTTTAATAAAAATCCTATAGTAGAAAATATTCTTTCAAACTGTTTCAGAGCTCTACAGCTATACAGAGGAACCAGAGTTTGGTGTCAATCAAGTCTGCTATGAGGAGTTGGCCAAATCACATGGTAATGCACAGGGTTTCTCAGTCCCTTCGCTACTGGAATTCAGTGCTTTCAAATTAATTTAGATCAAAATTCCACTCCCAAAGTTTGAACAAGGTAGCGCTAAGCTCGTGAACTTTCTCCCTGCAGTATATGCCCTCAGCCATCTTAAAAGTTATGAACTCTATTCTCAGGATTGTGTAATGGCTACTGAATTATTTAAAATATAGTTACAACGGTCACTTGTACAAGACAATCACCTTTACAAATGCCCACTTCCCATTTCTTCTCTTTCATTTTTTTAAACATTATAATAACACTGTGTAAGAAATCCACCTGTCTAAGATGACCACTTTTCTCTTTGACATTGGGTGGCCATCTTGGGCAATTTTGACTTTATTTGCTACTTTTATATCCTACTTATTGTCTTGGCCCTTTCTTACTGCTGTCTGTGGACGGTTTGAGGGCAAAAGATGCTTTTAACTTATTTTGAAAATGGTGATGGGGGGTAAATATACTTTTATTTTTATTTTTACCTCAGACTTCTGTTTTTGAGGACCATGCATTGGTGGTGGGTGGTTTGCTGGCTCTCAGGTGTGATATGCTACTTCTTTATTTTCCTATCAAACTTGCACCGTGCTCACCTTTCCTCCTCCTTTTCTTTGTATATTGGTCCCTAGTAATACTTCTAATCTTTGGCACTTATATTGCCTATTTGCATTGTAGGATTAATAAAACTCTGATTAAAACTAAAACATTCTATATCGTGTCAACAAATTTTGTGTTGTTCTTTCCTTCCTGCAGGTCTGGAGAAGTGGACGACCATGTCCCGGGAGGAGCAGCTGAGGTTTGTGGTCAGTCTCCAAGATGACCTGGAGGTGACAGAGAGGGAGAGGAGAACAAAGGCTGTGCAAGCGTTACTCTACCTCGTTCAAGGTCTGTCGATCACCTTCAGCTTACTGTATATATTCGATTCCCGCAGGTCCTTTTCCAGTGGGCTGTTTTGCGGACACTGAGAAGGAATTGATCAGCGACCCCAACACTATGAGGTGGGAGGGTGGGTGGGGGTATGTGTATGAAAGTTTGTGATTAGGTAAGCGATCAAACAAACAGGTGAAATGTCTTGGTTGAGACAAACTTTAATAAATTGACTGATCGAAAACAAGATCATGTGCTGCAAGATCACAGTTATATGCCAGTCTGCGCAAATTGAACCCTGTTATAGCCAGGTTCATATTACTTACACTTGCAGAGAAAAAACCCCGAGGATTTGATTTATCACTGTTATATCCAATTTCCTGTAATAACTGGATGTTATAAATGGACTGGACTGTACAATGCAAAATCCGGACATAACAAAAAGATTTCCGCATCCTGCCAATTTCACTATGTAAATGCTGTACCAGATGTTGCACTATTCAGGCAAATTATAAGACGCAGTGTTCATAGAAATATTTGTCTTGTCTGGGGTAATTATGTTGTTGTGTAGCGCTCAGAGCATGCTGTGGAGGGTGGATATGCGCTATATAAAATATAAATGCAATTAGGCCTATTATTTCAATGATGTGCCTACAGATTGTAAGGCGCATACAGCTTATTGTTGAGAGGGGATATGCACTATATAAATGCAGTTATTATATCAATGATATACATGCAGATTGTAAAGCACATTGAACTTGTTGTTGAGAGGGGATATGTATTATATAAATGCGATTATTATATATAAATGATGTGCCTGCAGACTGTTAAACGTCTTAAGCTTGCTGTTGAGCCGGGATATGTGCTGTTCAAATCATCATCATCATTGCCTTTTTCACCCTGCACCAGGGTATAGGCCACGGACAAACACTTTCTGTATGGGTGGGGTGGTTGGCGGGTGCTCATGTGTGGTTTGCTCCTTTTTTCCTATCAAAACGTCTATCGTCCTGATCTCTCCTCCTTCGTTTTTGGGTTTGTTACTCGTTTGTAACACCTCTAATCTCCGGCACTTATATGACCTTATTGTGTTGCAAGTGCCGTAAGACTCTTACTAAGTGGGTGGTTGGCAGGTGCTCTGGTGTGGTTTGCTTCTTCTTGCCTATCAAACATCTATCGCCTTTATCTACCCTCCTTCTTGTTTGTGTTTGTTACTCTCTTGTAACACTTCTAATCTTCTGGCTCTCATATGACCTTATGCAGTTGCGAGCGCCGAAAAAACCTCTACTAAAGCTAAAAAACACTTACTAAAACTAAAACACTCGCTGTTTAAATGCTACTAAATTGTTTCTCCCTGTGTTAGGTGTGTACGGTGAGTGCAACTCTCAGCAACACATGCAGGAGGTGAGTCGCGGCGCGGTGCTGCTCTACCTGGAGCTGGGCCTCTACTCTTCCTTAGTCCAGCTGCTGGCCATGGAGGTGGAGTAAGTGAAGTGACTTTTTCTCTGTCTTTCTGTCGTTCTTTCCCTTTCTCTGTCTCTCACTCTCTCTCTCTTGTAATTTCCCTTTCTTTCTCCTTTGCACACACGCTCTCTTTCTCTCATTTTTTAGGCTCTCTCTCTCATTTTTTTGGCTCTTTCTCTCTCTCTTCTCCCTTTCCCTCTGCGTCTTCTCTCTCTCTCTCTCTCTCTCTCTCTCTCTCTCTCTCTCTCTCTCTCTCTTTCTCTCTCTCTTTCTCTCTCTCTTTCTCTCTCTCTCTCTCTCCCCCTCTCTTGCTCTCTTGTACTTTCCCTTTCTTTCTCTTTCTCTCTCTCTATCTCTCTCTCTATCTCTCTCTCTCTTTCTTGTACTTTCCCTTTCTTTCTCTTTCTCTCTTTCTCTCTCTCTCTCTCTGTCTCTCTCTCTTTCTTGTACTTTCCCTTTCTTTCTCTCTTGCGCACACTCTCTCTCTGTATTTGTTGCTCTTTCTAATTTTTTAAACTCTCTCTCTCTCCTCTTTCTCTGCCTCTTTCTCTGCCTCTTCCTCTCCTTCTTCATCTCTCTCTCTCTCTCTCTCTCTCTCTCTCTCTCTCTCTCTCTCTCTCTCTCTCTCTCTCTCTCTCTCTCTCTCTCACTTGCTTGCTCACTCACTCCCATCCCCCCTCTCTCTCCTCTCTTTCTTTGTTTTTGTCTTTATGTTTGCACTCTTTTCTCCTGACAATACAGTGTTAAAGATAGTAACTCTTTTTTCACCTATCAGTAGTGCTTTAGATAGAAACTAATAAAATTTTAAAAGAAGTTCTTTACCCCAACTAGTATAAAAGGGAATATTTTGCTTTATTTTTGTTAATTGTTTTTTTCTTTTTGTATTGCTTTGTTTCAGGAACAGTACATCAGCCCTTCTTGCATTAAGGAAACCTGCGGTGTCAATCTCAGACAGCCAGGAGTTAAGGTAATCAAAGTCACAGTAAAGCAGAATAATCAAAGTGATATCTATTTGAGGAGAAGGCCATAAAACTTTCTTGGGGGGGGGGGGGGGGGGTTCTCTTTTTTTTTTCATGGTTTTTTTTTTTAAAGACTTTGTCAAAGTTTGTTTCATTTGTTGAGCCATGCTCTAAGTTGAACTCTGAAGAAACTAAATTTTTAAATTTGTGAATGAGACAAGTTGTTGTCAAGATGAAAATCAAGAAAATGGGTCTTTGCTTTCCCTTTCCAGAAATATCACTCAGTGTAAAGGCAGATTAATCGTTGGTACTTTTTTTTTTCCTTGTGGAGATAATTTTTCTGCTTGCATTTATAAACAAACAGTCGAACCTGCTCTAGTGGCCACCTTTATCACCTAGACAAATGCCGCTTCCCATTTCCTCCCTTGTCTGTATATTTTTTACATTATAATGACACTGTGTACAGCAGCTACTTGTCTTGGACGGCTACTTTTCGCCTCGACAATGGGTGGCTGTGTTACACAGTTTGGACTGTATAAGGCCTTGGATGTTTCATTTGATTAACAAGGTGTAAAGACGTGAAGTGAGATTAGGAACTACTGCTCTTTCAGCTTAATAACAGATGCTCACAGTTTTGTCCTTTTCTGCGCATGGTTGGAGGGTGCCATTGGTTGGTCGTACTTCCTTTTTTTCCCTCTGTTGTTTCTGTCTATCCGTCTAGTCTGTCTGTCTGTCTTGCTTCTCCCTAACACTTTATGACTGTTATTGTAATGATGTGCTTATTTTTACTCAAAACTTTAAAAAAATATTGTCCTTTTTCTAATTGTTCTGACTTGCAGGTATATCATCAACATCTTGTACATTATGGTGGAGACGGTGAGGCACTTTGACATTGGGCCAGATGAGAGCGATCCCGCCACGCAGGAACTGATAGAGGCCCGGGACAACTTCAAGGAAGAACTCGGTGCGTATTTCTCATCAAATCTGCTCTGCAAAACCCAGTTTCAGGATGTGATAGGTTTTTCAGGGAATGATAAAGCATTTAAATTCAGTCTAGTTGCACATAACGAAATTGATGTGACGTGGAAATCTTTTCGTTATGTATGGATTTCGCTATTTATGTATTTTAAATACAAAGAATATTTAAGAAAAAAATTCTGGACCTGAAAATCTGTTAGCTATGTGCGTGTTTCGACTTGTGCTTTCTTCATATTAAGACTAAAGCGAAACAGGACGGCAATGTTAAAAACTAAAACAGCTTTATTGCTAACAGGATATGGTTTGTATGGGTTTTCTGCAGTTCAACCAGTGTTTGGAGAAGAGCCTTTGTCTGTGCTTTTTTTGACCATGGTCGTCACCCAGTTCTGTCCCCCCATCAGGGCAGTGCTACTAACTGAAGTGTCTTTAGGCCATTCTCAAAGGGGGTATATTAACATGTTCTTATGCACTGTAGAATTGTGAATGGGCTGATTTATCAATGTCATGCTCAAATATGAACAGCATAGGGGGAACTGCTGCTTTTTCTTTCCTCATCCTTACTATCGTAATTTTTCCTCTACTTCTTTTTTATGTTTGTCACTCTCTTGTGAACTGCTTTTTCCTGGGTGTTGAGGCTAGAGAGGTGAGCAGAGTAAACCTGATTCCCCGTTTGGACTTCTCTGTTGACATCCTCCCCTTGGCGCTCTAATGACCTTATGCTGTTGCGAGCGCCGTAAAACCTTACTCAAACAAAACCCAGTTTTGTGGGTGGTGATGGTGTGTGTGTCTTTGCCGTGTGAATGTTTTGGAAGGCACTGTTGTGAAAAAGAATAACAAGAGTATCAATTATGGCTAGCAATAGGATTTTTGTCGGGTGCTCTGGTGTGGTTTGCTTCTTCTTTCCTATCAAACATCTATCATGTTTAACTCCCCTCCTTCTTTTTTTTGTTTGTTACTCTCTTGTAGCTCTCTAATCCTCGGCACTTATATGACCTTTTTGTGTTACAAGTGCCGTAAAAATCTCATTAAAACTGAACTTTTCCAGTTCAACCAGTGTTTGGAGAAGAGCCTCTGTCCGTGCTTCTCTTCACCATGGTCACCCGGTTCTGCAGTGGCAGTGCCCCCCACTATCCCATGAAGAAAGTTCTTCTTCTTTTATGGAAGCTCGTGTTGGTAAGATATAGACACTGCATACATTTTTTTTCGTATTCAGTTTTTGAAGTCTGTTTTTTAACACTTTATGTGCCACAAGTTATCAGCGCATATTGAAACAGTCAAAAGGGAGGTGCAAGTGTGTTGGTTCTTTGTTCTTTCAATGGTCTAATATCAAGAATGTTAAAAAAATGCATTATTGTTTTTTTGGATTAAGCTTTCATTCCTAGCACATATTCTGTGAGGAAGGCTGAAAAGGCCAACTGATTAAGCAAGGAAAAAATGTATTACACCCTCTGAGGAAGAAAGTAGTCAAAATTGTCCAAGACGGCCACCCATTGTTGAGGAGAAAAGTGGTTATCTAAGACAGGGGGATGTCTTGGACATTGGCATTATAATATTTGAAAAAGGCAGGGGGTGGGGGGGGGTTGTTTGTACAGGAAGTTGTCTTGGACAGGTAGCCGTTAGAGCAGGTTCAACTGTATCATTTTTTTTTCTTTTTCGATGTGACTGTAACCTTTACGGAGCAGGTTTGATTATATCTTTTTTTCCCTTTTCAGTATGATTAATTCCTTCATGTAACGCTTGACCTTTGTCCTACAGTTAACTTTGGGTGGCTTGAAGGGGCTGGAGGCAAAGAAGAACGAGGTGCGCGAGGAGCACGGTTTACCTCCCCTGAGCGAGGACATCTACTCTGTGTGCGAGACGATGCGGCCAGCCTCTCCGCCGGCGTCTGCTGCCGATCTGATCGAGCATCAGGTGCCCCGACGCGGGATGCGAGCTGGGAAGAGGGTGAGTGAGTGGGCCCTGCTTGGGCTGGGGTGCGGCAACGTAGCTTTCGGTTCGTGGGAGTATTTGTCCGATCTGTGGGCTGGTAGCAGGTTTGTGTTTTAGTTGTAGCAGACATTTGTATCTTGTGGAGGATGAGCTTTTGAAAAAAAAATATAATAAAAGGGTTTGAGGTGCATCCGTGTAGAGCAATTTCTGTGTTTGTAGCAGGTTTGTGTCTTAGTGGTAGCAGATATTTGTATTGTGGAGGATGAACTTTAGAAAAAGATGAAACGGTTTCAGATGCGTCCGTGTGGAGCATTTTCTGTGTTTGATGTCACACACATTTCGATAAAGCACATAAAGTAATTGCACCATTAGCTTAAAGATTTTAATGGTTAGGAAGATGAATAAAGAATTGTAAGACGAAAGGTTTTTAAGTATAATGGAAAAGAAGTTTGAGAGAACACTTCACTGAAATGAGAGTCAGTGCTGGTCTTTGCTTGTTCTTGGTAAACAAAATGTTTGTCTGATATAACTGAAGACAAGTTTTTGAGCTGAGAGCACAGAGGAATGCTGCACTTTTTATATGCAGAGAATTTTGCTCACCTTTTAGCAGCCAACAGCAATGATTTATAAGTGTAAAGGGAAATCGGAAGCTGCTGATTGTTTATAAACGTATTAAAAAAACCACAGAAGCTATTAATTGTTTGTAAGTGTGTAAAAAACCCAGAAGCTGCTTAAAAGTGTGTAAAACTGGGATCAAGGAAGTCATTCTCGTTACTGGGAAGTGATTCACATGATGACGGTGCATTGGTAGATGTCACTCCAAGAAGCATGCAGTGAAGCATCTCTCACTAAACCTGTGTCTCTGGGCTGGATGTGTGAGGCGTCGTCCATGTGGCTCGAACTGCTACTGCTTTTGTTCTGAAGTGCTGTTGCCGTAGTTTGTAAAGACTATAGGGTGCTCTTTGTGCAAGAGATGGACTGTGCATCACGCGTGCTAGGCCGCCGGGGGATCGGCTACTGTCGCTTACATAGGATGACTCTTGCCTGGTCAACAATATGTCGCTCCACTTTGTCCTGAAATATCCGTTGAGAGCCTAGCAGAGTGCACAGCTGTGTGTCACTATTTATTTTTTAAAATTTCTGTCTCACATAATCTAGTTTGTCTCTTTACAGATTTTCCTTTCATCAACTTTGAAGTCTAACAATGTATAGTTCAGGAAAACTTGGTAAATATTCGTAATTCAAGTCCTCTCTTTATTGAAAAAGCATATACTCTGATGGCATACAATTATGGAAATGTTCAGAAGTTGCCTACAGTATGCTTGACTGACTTGGTCATCTCATTGTTGTCATAAGTTGCATCTATCTTCCCCTGTGAGGGCCATTATCGGGTTGCCGTAATGTCATGCACAAAAGATGCTTTAGAGAAGGGTTGGATGGTCGGAATTAACTTTTATTTATGTCTTCCTCCATTATTGGTGTAATGTAGATCCTGTCAAACTCACCTGCATCTGTGGTGTAGCGGTAAGGCGTTTCCCTGTTGCACGAAGGAGATCCAAGTTAGAGCCTTGTCTTGACGATATTTGAGCCGAAGTTGCATCCGACAGATTTGACCAGGCAAAAGTCGCTTGTAGCTGTCTGTTGCGCCTGGCTCAGGCCCAGTACCGCCATAGGGTTCTGTTGTGGTTTTTCATCACTCGTGTTTGATAAATACATCATCATAGAATGACGTAGTGTGCATAACTAGCTGACACAAATGAAAAGATCAAACTGCACTATAATGGCAAGATTTTAGATATCTCTACACCATTGGCTGAATGAAATTAAAGCCATTTTTATGTCCTCCTGTGATTTGTTTAAGGAGGTGTCGATGGTTAATTTCATCCCATCTTCTGGTTGTATTTTGATTTGGGGATCTTGATGTGTTGAACAAAAAATGTTATGTATCTCATTTTGATAATGTAAGTCCTCCTAACCCTATGTTGCGCACAAGTCTCTCTGTATAATCGCAAGCCTCAGTTGTGGTTAAGATCATCCTTCTTGTACTTGGGGGTTTATTGTAGACGTTAGACTGTGCCCAGTTTGTTTGTTCAGCCACTTGTCATGTACCTATAGTTCTGGTTGATTAAGTTTGTGTAAGTGTGTAGATTTTTTCCTTGCAATTTGATCTTTAGTTGCTGTGTATATTTCAGAGCAGAGTTGCAATCTTACTGTGTCCTCCACCCCCCCTCCCCTCCCCTCCCTTGTTCCCCTGGTGACCCGAGTCTGATCTGTTGTCTAGTTTGGTTGTGGCCCTCGCAACACAAGATTAATCTCTTCAAGTCTGCCTGTGTACTAGATTTGAAGGCGATTGTGATTTTTTTTTTTTTAGGGAGGTTTCCGATTTTAAAATATGAATGATTTTTTTCCCCCTTGCCCAATCCTATCAAAATGATGTCATCTAATTAGTATACTATTGTGCATGTGATGCGTTAGCTATAGTCAACACAAGGTTATGGTAATGTTAGCTTTGTAAATGGTAGACTGTACATTGTTACTTTTTCTAGTTATGACTCACTTTCTCCCAAGAGACTGTCCGAAATTCTTCAGAAATATTAGTGATGGTTATGTATACCTTTCTATAAACCCTATTTCTCTGTGTCATACTGAAAAAAAAAAAAAGCTGCAAGGCCCCAACCTTTTCCTCTCCCCATAGCTCCCTCTTCTTTTTGCCTTTCATTGGTGTGGGGGATTTGTTAACACTTTGCAGTCACACAGCCAGCAGTACAAAATACCGTATCTGGTCACTCAGCCAGGAGAGGGACTGCAACGTACTTCTCGGGCCTGGCGCGAAAGTGCGCCAGGTGACCGGAGCGGATAATTTTGACCGGCGCATTATTGCACCAAGTGACTGCAAAGTGTTAAGTATTCTGCAGATTTTCAGTTAACTCATTGATGACCACAGTTTATACCTTGTGCAGTGCTTAGCTCCTGGAGTTGCCTCAATAAATCAAAGGAATCAGTTGTAGCTTTATGAATTCCGCTACAACTTATTTTTAAAAACGTCTTTGACAGCGTCAAATTAATAAGAGTTAGACCCTTCACCTCTTCAATGCCATACTGACCTCTCCAGAACATCGTGTAAATCCCACAATTTTCCACCTCTTTTTCTTACCGGGGAATACAAAGCAAGTAATATCAAAAGGTTTATCTGAAATTGCCTATTCCTACACCTGTGTTCTGGGTTGTCTCCATGTCGTTGGTTACCATTTGGTTTCCTTGAGCATCTCGAGCCACTCATTGATGTGAAAATGTGATCTAAATTATGTCAATGAGGGCGTAAAAACACTTACACTTGCACTGCACACAGTGATGTGAAAATGTGATCTAAATTATGTCGACGGAGACGTAAAAACACTTACACTGCACTCTTTGATGTGAAAACTACCTAAAGTGTGTCAGTGAGGACATTAAAACACCAACACCACACTCACCCATTGATATGAAAATGGTCTAAATCGTGTCGATGGGGGGGGTGTAAAATCACCGACACTACACTCGTCGACGTGATGGGCAGCTGGCTCGGTAAGCTTGGGTGAAGATTAATGTTGTGTGGTGGCCACTGTGTAGCTTGTCCTGTCTTCCT